TCATGGCGCGAGGTGGGGCGTTTGTAGCTTAATTGGTTAGAGCGTTGGCTTCCAGTAAAGGCCTTCTCTACTATGCGGGTTCACATCCCGCCGAACGCCTCGATTTTTTTCACAATTGGGTCAACTCAAGTTAAGCAAATCTGCCAAACCTCCTAATAGTTACCCTAACTGACATATAACTGCGTTCGGGAAACAAAAATTACACAATTACATTTGCGTTATCAGCTTGTTTTAGTACACGAACAAAGCGTAAAAATGCGCGCACTTAATATGAAATATTAAAAATTAGGAGCCCTGAGTAGGCGAAAATAATTAAAACTAATAACATCGGTTACATATTCTCCTTTGCTGAACCACCCCTTTTTATCATACCCCTAATCTGTAAACCTAGCCGTAAACCGAACGCTAATCCTAACGATAGAACTTGAGGGTTGACGGGAGTTAACTTCGGCCTATCCGAAGACTAGGTGGTTGCATGCATCCGATCGTTACTCGAAAAACTAATCGAATCATTTGAGAGTAAAGTAAAAATCACTTGCGCTAACGCAGCACGCATGAGCGGCTAAGTGACCTTGCTCCTTGAAAAAACTGCAAGGTCATATACTATTTTCTAATGTTTCTTAGGCATAAGTTATAACAGGTAGCAAATACGTCACATATTTCGCACTCAAGTATTGTCAGATCATTCTCCCAGCCCACTACTATGATCGTGGCGGAACGGGTGAAAGAATAGTAACACTGTCCCTGGACAACCATATTTAGACTCCGTATATTCGCTCGCGGAATTTTTATTTTCGCTTATTTCTGATGCTATATATGCTTGTGAAATCACCTTATTAGTGTCTGGTATTTTCCAAATTAGTAATCCACGAGCCTTTTTAGAAGACTGCCCGCCTTTTTATCGCCTCTCAACTCATCTAACCTATATATTTATAAAACTCAAGCTGTTCACCTTTCGTCCACCGCCTTTCGCCAGGATCTGCTGGTTGTATTTTGCGCGTGATTTTTTTGGATGTCGCCAACGTTTTATTTGGTTATTCTCCTGAAGAGCAGATTGGAACGTCTCAGAACAATCTTCACCTTCAATGCTATTTTTGACATAGTCCACTAGAGGCCTTCGTACTAGCTGTAGAGTTGCAGGGCATAAAACGTTTTCACTCCTCAGTAATCACTTTCTTCGTAATCTTTGAGATGCCTTGATAAATTGCATGCGCTTTGGAGCCAATATGCCAGTTTAAGAGTCAATCTAGGGGACCTGACGAAAATTTAGTCGGAAGCTAGGTCCTCTGTGTGGAGAACCACTGTCTCTAACTGAGTTTCGCCGTAAAGCGGTAGGCACCATAATTCCCGCTTTCCTGTTTGTAAGTGCATCCTTCGTAACTCGGAAACGCTCATGTCTCTGCAAAAGTGCTTTGAACTGGTGACTGTGCAGTTTCGGCAATCTGACTTACCCCTACTGTTAAAATGGACAAGCAGAAATGTGTTCCTCCACTTCTGGGAGGGGGTTCTTTTGGTAGTGATTATAGGTATTATCATTACTCTTGATGGTGTGATTCGGTTACTTTTGTCCTTTTTCATCCTAAATTGAACACTTTCTAAATACTGATCGCTGTACGAATGTTTTTTGTTACCTGTAGGTGCTTGATCCTGTAATGGCCTCGCACATGCGTCTCAGTGAGGACAATGCGCATCTCTACTTTTATCGTTGGTTCCTTCTGGATTTCAAGCGGGGTAAGTTAGACTGACCGACTTATCTTCATGCCTTTATCTGGATACTAGTCCTTTGTATTTAATTTTTTTACTTTATGTTCTCTTGATAGTTCATCTTCCCTAGCATCGATACCGCTTCACTGTACTAATCTGCCATAAAACGACTAATTTCGGGTCGTTTTGTTAGTACCCTTAATTCCGACAGTTATACGGAGAAATTTTAAGGCTCAGGAGGATGATCTAGTTGGTATCATTGAACTCAGCCTCCGAACCTCCCTCAACAACAAGCACTCATTGATTAACCTTCACCTGACTAGAGCGGGAGCGATGAGTTCCGTTACTGAGCGAGTGAACATTTATCAACGAGTTTCAATATCCGTTGACCTACACCTGCAAGACAAAGAATTCGTGACTCAACGGTTAGGGCGTTGGACTCTGATCAAAAAGCTCGCGAGTTCGAGGCTTGGGTGGGACGTTTGGGTATGACTGGCTGACGACGCCTAATAAGACAGAAATGGCCACTCCAGC